TAGTTCTCTAAAAATTATATATAGTAATTAGAATAGTCTATATACTATAGATAGAAGTATTTTATTAGCCTATTATTTCTAAAAAAAAGTATTATACTTAGCTTAATTAAAGTAATATTTCTAAATAAATTTATAACTAATAAGGTCTATCTCTATATAGATATTAATATCTATATATATCTTAATATTATTTTAGATATAAATCAGAATATAGAGGTAAATAATTATTTCTACTTAAGGCTAGAAGTTAGAACTTATAGAGGCTAGTTTAACTTTAGTATTTTTTCTAAATCTTTTAATTAAATATTATTATAGTAATACTAAGATCTTAAATAAGCTTATTAGATCTTTACCTCTAGAATTTTTAATAGTAGATAATATTTACTTATCTAATAATCTAGCTTACTATAATTAAAATAATTATTTAAAGAGATTCTAATAGATTAGTTAATCTCTCTAATAGATATATTATTTAGATTATTATTATTCTAAGAAAAAAATAGATAAGGATTACTATTAAAATAATAAGGATTTAGATATAAGTTAGAGTTATTTTAACTTAGGTATAAGTTAGAGTTATTTTAATTTAGATATAAATTATAGTTATTTTAATTTAGGTTAGTTTTAGGACTATAAGGATCCTTTAAGTATAGATTTCTAGGATCTTTTTAATCTTATTCTTTACTATTAGACTAGTTTAGAAATAAGTTATTAAATTATAGATATTTTAAACTTAAATTAGAATTATTATTAAATAGATTATACTTATATACTTTTACTTTAGTAAATTTTTAGATACTCTATACTTTTTTTTATCTATTATATTTAAATTTCTAAAGAAATCTTTATATATTATTAAGTATATAGTATTAACTATAGCTATAGCTCTAATATATAGCAGTAAGCTTATTTATCCTAGAAGATCTAAAAAAGATAGTATTTTAGGTCTATAAGATAGTAGTAAAAAACCTTTAGTTTTTTATTAGATTATTAGTAATAATACTCTATCTTATTAACGTAATTCCTGCATGACCTGGTCACCCGCTTGACCTGGCCACCTACCACTGTTAGAAAGATTCAAAATTAATTTGCTCAACTAGCACCTATTAATTCAACTAAATATAGCGATTTTTATATGTATTAATCCTATGGCTAATTTCTCTGTACCTACTATACCTCGCCGGAGCCCTAGTAGCCGGCCGTTCTGCCTAAATAGGTAATTCGCCCTGTGTATAGGAGTCTACCGTAGGTACTTCTGCTAGTAAATCTAGCTGTATAGCTGCCTGTAGGCCCTCTTCGACGGTTAAACCCTCTTTGTAGGGTATCTGCTTAGTCGACTGAGTATACTTCTTTACTATCTTCTTATTCGCTGTATATAGATTTGTGTTATCTTATACTAGTAGCACAGTATTGTATAGCGCTATACAGTAGCCCTTAATAATTTAATCTAGTATAGTTTTTAATAGGCTCAGAGGGCTATTTAACTACTGCTTTAGCAGATCTTTAAGTATCAAAGCTTGCTTCTATAGCTAAATTATGGTTCTGGGTATTTTTGGCGTAAATTAGCTAGATCTGCTTTTAAGCCGGCTGTTTTTACTGGTATAGGCGTTTATAGAGAGATATTAAGCTTTAAAAGTACTCTTTCTGTATTAACTAGTACTAGGCTACTAGCTATAAAGCTATTCTGAATAATAGCTAGCTGTTAGAAGGCCTCTAGCCGTATACGTTAGTAGTTATCTAAGAAATCAAATTTATCAATATAGTTATATCCTCTCTGTATAAGATCACTAATAAAGCAACTGTATATATGTTTAAGTACTGTAAAGTACCTAACATTAAACAGTTATAATAAATATAAAGAGTATACAGATATATAAAGAGGAACAATATCGTTCTCTTTATAAATTCGATTAAATTAGGGCGTAAGGTAGCTCCTATAGCTGTTAAGAATCAATAGCCGAAACCGGCCGTATATATACAAATTCGTTAATAGGATAAATAACTTTTATAGCCAATATAGGCCAATCTTATCGGTAGTCTAGCCGTTATTTAAGACCTTAAACCGCTAATCTTTTGGTAGGTTATCAAACCAACCTACAATAGTAACCTTACCCTTAAAGATTATATATAGCGGCAGCGAATAGCTATCTATACAGATTACCTTAATAGCAGTAACCTATTGGTAATTTCCTGGCTATAGGATAGATCACTGACTATAGTATTCTGCTTAAGTAACTATCTTTTGCGACGATATAAGGCCTATTACAAATCTAGTCTTATTAAAGTTGTAGATATCCTCTAGTTAGATACCGTTCTTATCGATAACGTGTTGTACAGTTGTAAACCACTCTCGTAGTAATTTCGGGTCTTCATTTAGTATACGTTGGTAGTCGTAGTGTTTCAAAAAGTATAAGTAAATCTCTTCGCACCGATTAATAAACTTTGATGGCTAATTCTTGCCTACTGTAGGCGAAGGGTTGGTTCTGCGCACAGCAAGAAGGATATTAGCCATTTCTCCTACAGTAGCAGGCCTAGGCACTGCTCTACGCGTATCCATAGAGATTATCCATTTAAGAAGCGAATCCTCTTCTAATTCAGTTAATTTACAGCGATTCAGATGTATATCGACGCATACAATTTGGCCATAGGCGTACGTTTGCAGAGTTAAACGTGGCACTGCGTATAGACTAGCCGCTGTACGAATAGATTTAATTCGGCTATTTTGAAGATCACCAAGGGCTAATAAGATCCTGCCCTCTTGATTGGCTGAATTCTGCAAAGATTCAGAGCGAATTGGTGGCATGGTAAGGGATTGAATTAGGTTGGTAGGAAGGAAGACACGACTTTGGATGGGGTGGCCAGGTCAAGCGGGTGGCCAGGTCATGCGGGAATTACATTACTAACTTCCTTAGTAAAGATATTTTTATTATATATTAAAATTAAAGTCTATTCTTTAAAATACTCCTAGCTACTAAAATAATTATTATAATTATCTGTAAAATATTTTTCTTCTATAGTCTAGTTATTCTTATAGTTAGAGTTAAAATATTTAATTCCTATAAGGATTCTTATTTTTTTTATCTTTATAGACTTTAGAATTACCTTAGAAGATATATCTAAGCTAAGAAAGCTAGTTTTCTTACTTCTAAAGACTAAAGAATCTCTTAAATTTCTTAACCTTAAAACTCTCTATCTTTTTAAATCTTTTAGTCTTAGTTCCCTTATAATTTATAGATAGCTTATCTAGAAAGACTTTAGTATTTATATTTCTAAAAACCTAAGCAGAAAGCTCTTTAATATAGGTCTAAATTACTAGAAACTCTTTAAGATACTTTAGTTTATATCTTTTCTTTTCTAGACTATCTATATTAATATTTCTAGGCTTAGTAATACTTTTAGTTATAGGTTTACCTATAATTCTTCTAATCTATATCCTATAAAAGAGAGAAGAAGATATATTAGTATTATATATATAAGCTCTATAGATTAATATCTGATCTAACTTAGATTCTATATAGTTTTTATACTAATCTAGGGCTGATTTAATCTTAGGTTAAATAGTAGGAGGGAGAGGTATAATAACTTTAGATTATATACTACTGTAGGAGGATATAGGGTTTTAATATATAGAGGGTACTATCTTTAATCCTTAGATAACTAAAGGAGAAGAATCAGAATTATAATAGTTACTAAGTTATTAGGCTAGAGACCTATAACTAGATAAGAATATTAGACAATAGAGATCAGATTAGATAGTTAATACAGAGACTGATTCTTAAGAAGATTAAGAATCCAGAATATTTATAGGATCTTAAATATATTAGGGTTCAGGTGGATATTAATATACAGGTAACTCAAAGGGGATTTGTCCATAAATTGGCCTCGAGAGTCTGGGGTATCATATACTTCGAATCCTGTGACAATCTGCTAAGTTCTAGATTAATAAACAGACAGGCTATATATAGCTCACCAAAAATTATCTTAACTGTATAAATTAAGGATTAAAGAAAGATATATACCGTCTGTCAAACCTAGGTGTATAGAGGTATAAGATTAAAAAGACTGTCTAAGAATTATATTCTACCCAAGCTTTAATATATATATTAATACTGGATATTTTATTTTAAAAACAATAATAAGTCTGTTATAAACTAGAGACTAGTAGAAGACTTCTTAAAATTATATTTTTTATATTAGTTAGAAGTGATAAGCCTTCTTAGATAGGTTTCAGAAACAATTAGAAATATAAAGGCTTTATAGTCCTTAGTAAAGGTAAGTAATATTAGATTAGAAGCAAAATATTAATACTGACTAGCAGATAAAGTTACCTTAGCTAGCTGGCTTTCTTAAATATACAAAGTAATTTATTCTTAAAAATTACTAAATAACTAATAAGGCGCCCCTTTAGGTCTATTATACAGGACTTATATTTACCCCCCTAAAAGTCAATAATTCGGAGAGAGTTTAATAGAGAGTTTTCTACTTAGATTTCCCAGTTTCTAAGGATTAAGGAAAATTAGAGTGTAGAATTATAGGCTCTTAAGGGCTACTTAAGCTAGGTTAAATCGGTTGTCTTCTTGTCCAATAGCCGGCTACTAGCGTCTGGCTTTTAGGATAACACCGTACAGCTCTGGGACCCGGTGACAGACGACCTACAGCAGACTCTTAAGGGCTACTTAAGCTTGGTTTAATCAGTTGTCTTTTTGCCTGATAACCAGCTGCTGGTGTCTGGCTCTGGTAATAATACTGTACGGCTCTAGGACCTAGTAACAGACAACCTACAGCAGACTCTTAAGGGCTACTCAAGCTGGGCTTAATTAATCGCCTTCTTACCTAATAGGCGGCTGCTGGCGTCTGGCTCTCATGATAAGACCGTGCGGCTCTGGGACCCGGTGACAGGTGACCTATAGCAGACTCTTGAGGGCCACTTAAACTCAGTTAAATCGGTCGCCTTCTTGCCCGATAGCCGGCTGCTAGCGTCTGGCTCTCAAGATAGGACCATGCGGGTCTGGGACCCGGTGACGGGCGACCTGCAGCAGACTCTTAACACATATACAATCGTCGACGATCTCGAATTCTCTCTGGATGGTTCATATATAACCACCAACTTAGGCATCCTTGCCGTTCAGCCCGGCCACAAAAATAACGTTTCTCTTTCAACCTATACGTTCCTGCCAATCTTTCTTAAGCAGCGACAATAGATCAACCTGGACCGCAAAAATATACTATGGCTTCCTCCTCAATTTCGGCCTAGCTGTTCCGCAGTCAATAGGAATTTACTGGCCTTAGGACACACATCAGGGCAGGTTACTTTTCTACGATTTCGTTTATAGCAGAATTCAATACTCTCTATTCTCAATCTTCTCTCCATTTTCTAATCTCTTTATAGAAAAAGGGCCTAGAAGAGAAACGAATTTTATATCCAACTTTCTGCTAATAGAATGTTCCGCCCAGTTCCATAAGGTTCCAAAGCCACAGCTCTATATTGCTGAGTAGGCGACTCGACCAGGCCTGGCCACACAGCAGGAAAGGGTGCAGTACTGTATCCGCCAAACCCCACTAACCAACACTCAATTCTCGGACCAAGGCCTTGGGCAGTAAAGAACTTGTATGTGTAAATAGTGAAGCTGGTTTTTGACTACTCTGTACCTAAGGTTATCGGGGATAGAATTTTGATTGAATGCGTTGGAGTTATTCAATTTTGTCTAAGAACCCTTACAATTCAATTAGGCTAAATCACACACCCTATAAACACAATTGAGGGATAAAGGGACACCATTCCAATTAAAGCAGCTGAGGACTGCATTTTCTACAGTATTTCCGGAAATCGATATCACCCCTAAACTCTTTCATTGTCACCCGAACCCTAGTGCCAAGAAGCCCTTGACTACATTTGGAAGATTACTTGCCAGCCTCGTTGGTTTCCGTGGCGTATAATAAATTACCGGATTATTATAATAGCGAGAAACTTGTTCATTATCTGTCACATCGAGAAGCTGCCACCTTAGCGCCCCTGTGGCCCCCGTCTACTTTCCGAAGCTTCGCCCAAATTTATCGGATGAGGCCAATTCCCATACTGTATGTGTACTTGAGAATGGTTTTGACCCCAAGAGTAGACGTGGCCCACATGCTCTCCGATTCTTTCCATAGCACGAGTGGAACAGAGAACGGCCTATGAGGATTGCCGACCACTATTCATCTCTTCTCTTCGCCCGATCAAACAAATCTTTAATCCGCCGAGGTTATGCATCACTATATCGCCAATGCTGCGTATCATGCTGTGTATCAATGACCCGCTATCTCGCCCCCACCGTCTCTGATTCCGTAGGACTCGCATCATCGACATGCATCGCCACCCTGAAATCGACAACTTCGAAGTCATTGGAGAATATTCGTACCCTAGCGGCACACCTCCAGTGATGACTTCGATATTGCCCCCCAGGCCTCTAACATGGGCCAGCTAGGGCTGCGCAACATGTCCCTTCCAACATGCAGATACTCCCGCGGAAGGTCACGCACTTGAGACATCGACAAAAAGTTTTTCAAGTAAAGCGAACCCCTCTCTCTTATCTCGTCACTTCCCATGCCATATGTAAATAGAGCGAGTATGTCAAATGGTGTTAAGATTGGTTGAAGACGTCGGTGAAAAGCCATCCCATTGTCGAGTGATACGTTGCGGTGATCGCCGAAGTCGAATGTGTCATTATTCCATTCTTGGTATTCGTGAGGCGATTTGAAGACATTCTGGAGAAGATAATTCGAAGTATAATCAAAGATTTCAAGATTTCCGAAGATTTCTTGCAGTGTGTAGTTGGATCGTTCAAACCAATCGGCATATATTCTCGCGGGTAAACTTACGTTCATTTCGTCTTCTGAATCGAAACTAATTGCAAAAAGCTGCATCACTTTTGTTTCGAAGGTGCAAGCTATTACCGCCCGATAGAATTTGTCTTGAGAAACTGTTTTCCTTTCGTTCCTGTTTGATAGAGGTAAATGTTGACCGATGTGGCGTTTACAATCTGCGGAGCAGGCCATCACACAACTCTCCTCAGGGTGATGATAAGAATTATCATCAAACAGCGCATCCTGGTACTCATTGGTATGGGAGATAAAATTGCTTCTCAACTGGGCAGCTTGCTTCCACCACAGGCGAATTCGTCGTAGGTAACGGTCAATTATCGGTCCGGACTCAACCGTGGCTGAGAAAACCGAATCATAGTCAAGGCAACCATCAAGCAGGGTAGGAGTTTGAAGTGTGATATCCTCGTCTTCGCCATGTAGTGCGTCGGCCAAGTAACAGAGGCGGACATCGAATATGTGGTGTGGACAGGTACACTTAATTAAATTGAATACCCTATCCTATTCGCTGGGCAGAGATTATGGCTGGAGGCTGAACATACAACTAAAGACCACGCGATTTTGCGCTCGTGAAGTTTGAAGAATTTGTAATGCAATTTGCACGTTATTGCAAGACTCGGAAGTTCATCAAGGCTAGGGAGATTTTGAAAAATGAGTAATAGCAGTTCGGTTGGAAGGTGAGATATGAAGTTAATTCCACTAGAGTCCATTATTTGGCTTTTCGAAGTCTTGTTGAATGCAGTGGTAAGAATGCCGTAGCCAATGCTAGCAGAAAGGTGAAGTGTCTTTGGTGATAGAAACGTGGCTACTGGCGATGGACATCTGCGTAAAATACTAACATGTTATGTAATAATACTGTAAGTGTCTGTATTTGCGAAAAACCGGAAGATTACTATTTTTGTTTATCGCTCGAAAAGGTCTAGTGTATCTTGGTATTTAGGGTTTGGGGGACAAAGAAAGAGTACGGGGGGTGGACACCGATTTCCGGAACCACTGTAACACTATCGACTAGACACAAAAATGATGACGCCACCCAAACGCCCACCTTGCTCGTGCTAAATTATTTCATAAATAGGGATCGCTTTCTTAACGCTTTCGACCCAGCGCTGAATGTCTTGTACGAACCGTCGAGTAATACTGATTTTTATACCTTTGCCAATGAAGAACTCCGGGTCTTGATCCTGATAGACCTGCTTAAGATCAAGGCCATTCTTAAGCATTAGATCACAGACTTATCGAAATGCAGCCTTGAGGGTGTCATTAGTTACATTAGTTACCTGCCACTTACTGTATTCCTTGACCGCTTTATCTCTGGGCCCAGGAATATCGAGTAAGCTTAGAATCTTCTGGTGGGTATCTGTCTGGGTGGCAGGAATGTTAAACCCAGTGGCGGCAGACTACGATAGATAGACATTAATATTAATAGGAGGATAGGGTACTCTGTTTCCGATAACATATCCTCCTTTGCAACTGGTCTTCTCCAGTCTCTGCTGTTCTTCTACGTACAGCTCTTTATATACTATTTCTGGCATATTCTTATAGCCGTCTAGCGCCCTACCCTTTTCGATATAAGTAACGAGGCGCTTTAGATAGTAGGTTTTCAGTTAGTAGTGCTTTTTCCCCGCTAGATTAACCCAGCAATAGGGACCTAAGGGGTAAGTTATAGAATCATATCGTATTAGATTATAGACGCTACACCAGGTAAGTTTTTATCCAGAAGCATCCTGCTCCGCATTAAGCTATATATCTCTCTCTTCGAGCATCCTTTTCGTAACGGAGAACTTTCCTCTTTTCTCCCCTTACCGACCAGCGGTAGCTGAAGAATAACATTTGTCTATATAGTTGAAATAGATCTTTAACGTAAGTTCCTTACCTTAAGAGAACAGTCCTGACCACATCAGAAGCTGCTTCTCGATAGCTGTCTAAATAATATCGGTATCGTCGAATCGTTTAGTCAAATTACGCTTAGTATAATCATTAACTAAAATAATAATGGCAGTATCGTCAGCTGTTACTTGACGATTACAAGCAACCTTTCTGCACAAAACCTTTTCTAGCTTTTTCTCCAGAAAAAGCTGCCAGAAGACACTTAGGGCTAAAACAAGGTTATCCTCTGTATCCTTCGCCATCTCCCAGTTATTGACTATCACTCACCACTCAATACGATAGTAGATACAGGTCAGTAGATCCTGGTCGTATACTCTCCCTTCCTCCCATTCAGACAATCAAAGCAGCCTAAGAGCATCAGATTAGGGCAGGTTCTCAACAACAGATAGAGAGGGACTGTAGTTAGATCGTATTTCATATAGACTACTGTAGTATCCAGGAGTTAGAGCGTATTGCGAGTCGTATCCCCACAGTTAGGGCACATCCGCCTAAGAGGTAAAATAATCGTAATCTGGGCTTTGTATCATATTTATAAACGACGGCAGTCCTGAACAGATCTATATCAGCTTCCTAACAGTACCAGCTTCTAATCGATAAAGACGACCAATAAAAGTTACAGTGAATAATAGCAGCCATAGGAAGAAAACGCATCTTTGCCTACCAGGGTCAGTTCGCTATATAGACAATACAGCCTTCTATTTGATGTCAAAGGAGTATAAGCAAAGGCTGCGTATGGCAGGGAGGCCAAAAAGAAAGGAAAACAAAGTTGGAAAGGGAGGAAGGGGAGAGGGAGGGATCGTGCCAGATTATTATAATCGACACCTTGCTTGGTTTCTTCGCATGAAAGATTCTATTAACTTCCAAGGAAATTACGGTATTATAACAATAACCCACCCAGTGTTACCAGTGCATACAGTACAGTCTGACCAGGATTTCTAGGGTATGGCTAAAATTAGATTAGTGTGTTTCAAAATAGGGTTCAGCAGTTAAAGTCGAAGAGTATGGAGGTAAATCTGATTTCGAATATTACTGTAATAGCGTATTAGGGTGTTTGTATAAAAAGTCCCACAGCCCACACTCGGGGTCAGAAGGTACCTTGACAAGAGCCGAAATTAACCTTTTTGACTCATCAAGAACGGACAAACGGTTGAAAAATATGTTGTTCTTTAATAGAGGGTCCTTCCCTGCCTCTGTGGTAGCGAAGTGGTCGATACATTCAGTGGTTATGGTCCGTCCCGTCTTCCTCGGCGTCACCGACGGATTTCAAAACACAGACTGAATAGTCACCGGTGTAGAGATATTTACATACTTTGGCGAAAATATCTTCAATATTTTCTTCTATCCTGATATAAGCTGAATTATTTCTGATTAGGCCAAAGACTGATTCTAGATTCTTCAAAAGTCTCGTATGGATATAAAAGTTTTTCCTACTCAGGCTGACCTGGAAAGAAATAAC